TTTTGCCCAATCAAGCCAAGTGAAACAACCGTCCTTTTTTTGGAAGTCCTCGCAATTCAAACCACATAGATTCATAGATATAGCATCATTGCCTACACGTTACTTGCAAGAATGAGCTGGTAGTCTATTGCAAAGTGCCAACTCACTGATTCTTCACTGTGGAGTGGCAGCGACACTCAGCCAGTGGGCTCACTCTGGGAGTACTTTGCTGGCCGTGAGCGAGACAGACTGCTAGATTCTGCTCGAACTGGCTTCTTGTTACTAGTAGCGATGGCCTCCAACCTACTTGCGATGGCTTCCAACCTACTAGCGATGGCCTCCAACCTACTTGCGATGGCTTCCAACCTACTAGCGATGGCCTCTAACCTACTAGCGATGGCCTCAACCCTAGAAGCGATGGCCTCCAACCTACTTGCGATGGCCTCCACCTAATAGCGTCCTAATTAATATTGCTTCAGTAAAAGGGTGGATGCCATATCCCCATAGATTGGATTCATAGAGCCACCGAGCCCCTGAACAGTTACTCAAACAGACGCCAGCACCACCTGGTGCCCGGCGGTTTTCGGGAGGCGCGGACGGCGCGGAGGAACAAAAGAGTGATTGCTGTAGCCTGTGAGAGAGGGATATTCAAGGAGTAAACCGTCAGCCAGCCGCTAGTGTTTAGTCCAAGCGCGTCGCTAGATGGTCGTTGCACGAAATGGAACTCGCTGTGAGTTCGAACTCCGTTGGAGGCCGGGCTCTGTGACTCTCAGTGCCACACTCTCCGCATGCAGAGGCGGTGTGACAAGATGTGACAAGTGCGAAGCTGAATGGTGTGGCCTCCAACCTAGTGAACCAGTAGCACAAGGAACCTATAATAGCAATGGCCTCCAACCCAGAAATGGCCTCCAACCCAGCGAGGGCCTCCGGCTACAAGTCTTGACAAGCCGAATGGTGTGACAAATTGCCATGAAAGCGGAATGGATTGAAATAGGCTTAGGCAAACATTGAATCACAACAAGCTAACTCTCAATATTCATACGTCCTTTCTTTCTGTGTTGGCTACACTGAAGGGCGAGGCTGATCGCTGGAAATCCCTTTTCGTGACTGGACCATCATACTGCAGCCTCAAAATGACTGAAAATCGCTTTGCTAGGTCTGAAAGTCGGTCCCCTTTTAGGTGCATCGCTACTAGTAACAAGTGCAATACTATATCAAGAATCTACTACTAGTGATGCCCTTGTTACTAGTAGCTAGAAAGTAATGGCCTTCAACCTACTAGCGATGGCCTCCAACCTAGTAGCTTCTAGCTGCTAGCAGTAATGCCTTAGGTATCAAATGTTTGACAAGTTCAGACTTCCAGAATCTTCCAGAGACTGGGCCAGGTGATTGGGCCCGCGGCCTTCACATTGCACCCTCAGATCACAGTTGAATGAAGGGCACTTGCGGATGAGTTCGCACACAGCACAGAAAGGCACAGAAGACCAAAAATGTTTGAAGGAAACTGTCACACTCAGCACGGCGTGTAGAAACATTTGATAACATTTGTGCTCTTGCATGGAATTGTTTATGCATAAACTACTTTACGAGTTCTGACACAACTGAATGGAAGCATCGAAGAACACTCCCACAACCTCCACTCCCTTTGTCTTTTTTCCGGGGCAGTGCGTAGGTTGCCTTTAGCAGGTCCGTAGGTTGCTTTCCATCACCACAAGTCACCAAGTCAGTTACAAGTTGATGTACATCCTGACACTGTCAGCATGTTGCCTGCTGCGTTTGAGCTTTGGCACTCACCACTTCATGGTGATTTGCTTGTTGGCTAAGCCAACTTCACTGGCCAAATGCTTGTCACGGCGCGCCAATCGGACAAAGCTGAAGCATGACGCCTCGAGTCCCTGAAGCTTCTCGGCTTGCCATCCAACTTACGCATTTTTTCCCAGTAGCGTCCTTGCTGTAAGGCCAGGAGCCCCTAGTAGCGTCCGATCGCTCCTAGTAGCGATGCCCTTTGCTCCTAATAGCGTCCTTGTTCCTCCATTTTTTCGGACATGTTGGTTTATCGCGGGCAAATCAACACTTTTGATTAGGAGAGCCTTGTTAGCCCTTCTCACAGTGTGACATCCCAGAACAGCAGATTTGGGAGAAGCAGTTTTTATTTATGATTCATGGAGATTACGTGTGCTTTCTGAACTATTGAGTTGCCAAATGTGCGATGAGGACTTGCTATGACTTGCTTAAGGAACCCCAGATGCACCCCATCGAGATGAAAAAGATCGGAAAGATGTATCCCCTTTAAACCGTATGGGACATCGTTTTCTCTTGTTAAGCTACTTCCTGCTTCTGCTTGTGTATGCCTGCAAGAGCCCCGATACAAACGGCTGCAAGCCCAACCCGTTGCCTCTACCGAATGCATCCGAAGGATTAATCCCGTTTTCGTGTGCGGCAGCATGTTGCCCTCGAGTGAGGAAGAGGCCAATGGCCGCGGACGTGGTTCAGTACACTCGATTGATACAGAGATGTCAAAGGCGGCAATGGCACACGGCTTCTCGGCACCTGCTTCAGCCTAGGGGCTCCTGGCCTTACTACTAGGAGCAAGAAGCTACACTACTAGTAACAAGAAGCTAGTTACTAGTAACAAGTGCCTTACTATATCAAGAAGCTACTACTAGCGATTCCTTGTTACTAGTAGCTAGAAAGTAGTGGCGTCCAACTACTAGAGATGGCCTCCACCCTAGTAGGCTTGGGGTGGAATGAGCATCATGACTTCACGCTGGCAGTCACTGAATCATGTTACAATCCATTAGGGGTGTATGTCCTCTTGCGTTTGTACACTTCGGGTTCGATTGACAAAATCTGTTTTCTTTCCTATAGCGCTTGGAAACTGTTCTTTTCGATTGACAGAGACGGAAACGATTCTTACCCGAAAGTAAAACCATCGAGCGCCAAAGAGAGCTTTGTGTTTCAACGGCGCCAGGCAACTGCTTGCGTTTAACAAGTAGAATGTATCAATATGACTGCTAGCTTCTCTTGAATGTCCCGGAGAAAACGAAAAGTTTGAATGCAATCCACCGCAACCACCAGGGACATCTCCATTCGTTTCGTGTGGGGCATCCCAATCCAAGCGACAGTTTTTGAGGCCCTACAACTCTATTCGGACATGGCAACTCGAGGAATCAAAGCGGATTCGGTTTGTTGCAGCTCGATCAGCATTCTTGTTTGCTTCAAGGGGTGGTTACGCCATGAGGGCTGCAGAAGGTAAGCTTGGCAGTCGTAGCAGTCTTGGCAGCAAGAAGAAGTGGCTAGCAGCTAACAGCTAGCGTAAACAAAAATAGCAGCATTGGCAGCAGTAGAAGTATGTAAAAGTAGAAGTTCAAATGGTGGTGGTGGCGGCGGCGGTGGTATCAGTAGTCAGACAGTCAGGTCAGGAGCTAGCGGATGCTAGCAGTGAAGAGAATCTGTGAGTAGCAAGGACAGAGCCCTGGATCTTGAGGGAAATTAAGCTCAACGGCGCAAGGGGCTGATGGGAATTGAATTGGTGAGCTTCATGGCTCCAAGCTCGGGGGATTCTCACACAAAACGAAGGGTTATCCTTGAACATACGCAGGACATGTGAAAGAAACGCCTAGGGCAAAGTATTGAGATTCCCAGAGCAGCACTGTAGCACTCCTTGGAGTCTATGTCGTTTACACGGGGGAAGGTGTTTGCACATATGTGCATGTTTGCACTCCATACTTGCATGAAATTGCAAGCTGACGACCTGGACTCCAAGGTAATGAGGCAGTTCGTTCCTGCCAGGAAGCAGCATGGCAGTTGGCCTTGGGGCTTTTCCGCAGAAGCTCAGCTTTTTGTTGCGGTTTGGATGGATTGGTCGGTTTTTGGAGGACTTTGGAGCACTTCAGCGATGGCCTCCAACCCAAGAGCGATGGCCTCCAACCTAAGAGTGATGGCTTCCAACCAAAAAAAACACGGCCTCCAACCTACAGTAAGAGTGATGGCTTCCAACCTAAGAAACATGGCTTCCAACCTAAGTGTGGCTTGCAATGTTATGGTGAGCTGAAGGAGAGGAAAACAATCAAACGAGACTAAGCGCCTCAGGAATCGGACAAGCAAAGGACTACTTCAGCCACTTGGACGTTTTTCGAAAAGATGAGGAAACTTATTGAAGCGTCCTTGCTCCTAGTAGTAAGTATGGCCAGGAGCCCCTAGTAGCGTCCTTGCTCCTAGTATGTAGAAGATTCTTTTCTGGTGCTTGTCCATCTCCTTATCCCTTTGATAAACTGCATCTTGAACCTAACAGAAAGTTGGAATTGGACATGTTTTCAGATGCTGTCAGGTGTCCTGTGGTGTCTTGTGGTGCAGGTCAAACAATCACCCTTGGCATCTACAGAAAAGCTCAGCAATGGCGTCATTGCCTATCGTTTTTCCAGCAGACCCTTGGAAGAATAGCCCGATTTTCGCAACCCTGTTGCGTATGAACCACGGGAAACATCACGACGTGCCTTTGTTAGATAGCTATAACTTTAACTCAAGCATGAGGAGACGATAATCCATCAGAAAAAGGCATGCGGTAGACTTGGAGGATGGCCAGAACAAAAGGCGTTGGGCTCACGAGGTTCCAAGATCTATCTCCGTGGCACCACGCTGCCGTTATTTTTTAGCATAGCTGAGGATGTTCGAATCACGCCCACTGCCAGATGTGATTGGCTTCACTTCGGTGATCAATGCTTGTGAGCATGTAGATCTGCATGTAGATGGATGGAACATTGCCTTGCACTTCCTCTCGGCAATGCCTACCTTGAGGCTGGGCGTTGTGTTTCGATCTGATCAGATGCCTTAGGTCGTAGTCGTGTCGATGACGCTCTCTTTTGTTTGGGCGTGCTGTTGGCTCAACTTCTTGCATTGTTTTAAATCCCCATATGTTCAACACCATGGCTGCCGCAATATACTAATACTGAACGGCCTTTTTGCCAAAGCTCGATGCACCGTCCAGGATCCCAATGGATGTCCTTGTTTACAACTCGGTAATGACTTCCTGTACAAGAGGGGCACAATGGCAACTGGTTTTGGTTTCCTTGCAGCAGATGCAAGAGCAGAGGCTGGTTGCAGATCTCATCAACTACAATGCTGTGCTTTGCGCGTCTAGGTCGAATCTAGGTCCATGGAGCAATGTCGAAGTGCAGAAAAAGCCTGAGAAGAAACTGCTGAGAAAACCCAAGGCATCAAGGCAAGGTTGCCAAGAAGATGTACCCTAGAGAGGCCCTAGTTTGATTGACTTATTGATCGAGGCAGAATAGATTTCATGTGGCAGCTCGTCCTACCCAGGCACTCAAAGACGCCTCGCAGTGGCAATTGTCGCTGCACATGTTGACAGAGATGTTGAAAACGAGTGTCATCCCTGATGTGATCAGCTACAGCGTCGCCGGTCAGCACTTAGCCACTGAAAAGAAGGCCAGACTGGTCTGTCACAAATCATTGTCAGTCTTCAGAACAGTGAAGACGTCTTAATTTGCATGCCCATTGAACCAACAGAAAGTAAGTTTCTTCAGGCTTGTGCCAGAGATGTCTTCGTACCGTCACCATTCCGGTCTCCCTGAGGTGTTGGTCACATTTGTAGTTTTAGCTCGATCAGCTTTGCGGGCACTGCTGCCACGCAAATGCCATCAAATACATTTTCGTTCCAAGTGCATCGCTACGAAAAAGCCACTTGCGATGCCCAGTGCGATGCCCTTGTTACTACAGTAGATGGACCAAATATTCAAACCCATGTATCAATAACTGTCGCCAACCCCTGACCCCCAAAGGTCAATGTTGAACATAACTTGATTGAATTTGTGTTTCCAGGGTTTGATTTGTTTCGTCCATTCGCCGAAACATTCTTGCAAGACCTCTAACATTGAGCTTTGGGGTAGAAGGGGTCCACGTGGTTGAAAGGGTTTGAATATTTCGTCCATCTACGGTACTGGGTGTGGACGGCGACCGGAGACCTCACATGCGTGTGTTGTTTTCAAGTGATGCCGGGCGGTTCCAGCTACTGTTCTTACTGTTGCCATGTGCTGTGTTTGTTCCCAGTCCCTTTCCAGTGCCTTTTCCAGTGCCTTTTGCACTTTCTCGTGGCCCTGCCAGCAAAAATGTGTTTCTGGTAAGTTTTGTTGAAGCAAAAAGATAAGCTATCTCTTTTTAGCAAAAAAGTGAGTCACATGGCAAAGTCACTGGCAGGCGCACAAAAACCGTGAAAAGGCACTGGAAAAGGCACTGGAAAGGCACTGGGAACAGACACGGCACATGGCAACAGTAAGAACAGTAGCTGGAACTGCTCTTCATCTGGCTTGCTTTCCTGACGTCTGCTGTCCTCGCTCGCAACGTGTCGATGTGAAAGTGTTGTTGAGCACAGAAGATTAAAGCACAGAGTACTACGGATGAAGATGTTAGACTTGATACTTACGAGCCAAAAATACGCAAACGTCACACCTTTAGACAGTAGATGGACCAAATATTCAAACCCATGTATCAATAACTGTCGCCAACCCCTGACCCCCAAAGGTCAATGTTGAACATAACTTGATTGAATTTGTGTTTCCAGGGTTTGATTTGTTTCGTCCATTCGCCGAAACATTCTTGCAAGACCTCTAACATTGAGCTTTGGGGTAGAAGGGGTCCACGTGGTTGAAAGGGTTTGAATATTTCGTCCATCTACGGTAGTAGCTTCCAGGGGTGTCATGCTTGTGCCTTTTTCGGCTCGGGTGTGCGGTGGTGCACCTTCCCCAGCCTCCTGGGACCAAGGCTACGATGAGCTCTTGTCAGAAGGCTTCACATTGGCAAGTGGCCTTTGACCTCCTAGCAGACATGACAAAAGCAACTGGGCATTGAACATGCATGAGTACATGAGTATCTGAGTAATCGGAAGTCAATATGGAGAACTAAGAGGATTGGTTTCGAAGACTGCACAGTGCGTCAAGTCCGCCTTGCTCAATGTGGTCAAAAAGAACTGATTGAGACACTGCAGCCCCGTCGTTTGGCAATGGAAGACAAAGCACTTCCGCTCAGAGTGCCCTTTGCATTCAGGTGTTCTTCAGTATGTGGAAACGCTACAAGACGTGTTGACAATCGGCAGGCCACTGCAACTCCTGATGTAATGTTCTTCAACTCGGCTATCAGCTTGTTTGAGGACCACATTCGGTGAGTGCAATGCGCTTTGATTCCCCGCCATGCTTTTCAGACTCCCTTTATCATGCTATGATCTATTTTGGGATTCGCTAATCGCCAACGTGTTTACCACGGGATTTGTGCAAAGCGTCGAAAGAGAATGCACAATAACAACCCTGGCAACAACCCCAAAAAAAGACCGTTTGAAGAAGCAGAGGAGCTCTCGCAATGGCCAATGGCCTCGGGCTTCTTGCGGCGCATGGCAGTCGCCGGGATCCGCACAGACATGGTCAGCTACGTCAGTGGCATTGGTCCGAGCTTCTTTGGCCAAAATTCAGAAACCATTGCTGTGAAGTCAAATGCCATTGCTGCTGGTGCTGCGATTCGGGAAGTTGGGTCAGAATTGGTCAAAGGTGTCATTATTTTTGAATGGCTTTCGCGAGGTGGTAGGCTTTGGCCCAGCCCGATACGTGGCCCACATTGCAAAAATTTGCCACAAAACAATGGATCGCACAGAAGAGCGAGAGCACATGGTTTTGGTCAGCCAATGTTTAGCTTTTTGGAAACTGATGGATTCCATTGTTTCGGTGTCTAGTGAGGCTCTGAAGAATCTCAATGGAAACAATGTGCCTTGCTCTTCCAGGCGAGGCGTGTGGTCAAAAAGGGGTGGTGGCCCAAAGCAACCTAAGCGCGATGGCCTCCAACCTAATACCAATGGCCTCCAACTCAGCATGTCAATCAGCATGAATCTGGATCAAGCGGAAAAAAAACTGAAAACATTCTGTTGTTCTCAAGTGGCTGAAGCCGGAGAACGTTTGAATTGGCCCTTGCCAGGAAGTTGTGAGAGTAAGCATTCGTCAAAGAAGCTCGGCTAGTGTGACATGCGGGCACACGACAAAGCAGGCGCAACCTTACATTGGCTAGAAACGGATGAAAAGAGGCTGAAGGTATGGTCTAATCCCCTGACGGGTTCGCAAGCTTAAATCATCTTAAGCCACTTGGGCAGGCTTGACTTGCATTGTAAGGCTCGTTCTGCTTTCAAAGCACATGAGCCAACTGTAAAACTGGCTTGATGCAGGTGCCGAGGGGGATCTGGTCCAAAGTACATGGTCACTGAAGAGCCCAGTTCCAGAAACAATTAATAGTTTCTTCAAGTCTTTTACAGTCGCAAGACCGCGGATATCTGTGAGAACTTCTTCCCTTCTTCAAGTTGGAAACCAATCATCATCGGACCCAGGCCTTATCGGCTACAATGCTGCCACTGCTGCACTTCGAGATTCTTGGATTGCTTACGGATGAGAGCTGGGGCTACTGTAACTACCTGACCACTCGGCTCTAGATAGTTTTCTTCGCATTATGTCTTTTCGTTGTTGTGAGGGTCTTTTGTTTGAGTGCACTTCCAACATGTGTGTGTATGTGCCTTTGTTGATGAACATGATAGTGACAAGTGGCACTATGAGGAGGTCATTTTCCTGGCCTGCAATCTACTGTGCCCTTTCAAGCCACGTGATAAGCCAGCAAACCTTGCAAATGATAGATGTGCCAAACCCAGGAGCGGTTTCAATGGCACACGCTTCATTGTAGGCCACAAAAGAGTAGAAAAACAGTAGTAAAGTCCGTAAACAAAACTAAAGCGATGGCCTCTAACCTCAGAGCGATGGCCTCCAACCTACGAGAGATGGCCTCCAACCTACTATCGATGGCCTCCATAAGCTTGGCAATGGATAAAATGCCCAACTGTGGCAACCAGTGCAGTCCACATAAATCCAAGATTTTGCTGCAAAAACAGCTGCGTGATTTGTTCAAATCGGTGTGGTAGTGTGCGCATTCGTGCCAGCCAGCACGTGTATCATGCTCGACTCTCTGTTCATTTGCTCTCCGTATATGGTGGCATTGCGAAGCTCCTCCGGCTTCGGGCGGGCTTAAACACAGACTGCTTCGTTGCTTGCCAGTGACGGAGTTGGACAGAGCTGGCACAGACTGTTTCGCTGCTGATAGCTGCTTTGCCATAATGATCTTGCGCTTTTTGATCGGCCCTTTTCCAGGAACAGTGGCAGATCTCCCTCCATCTTTGGGATTTGATATGGACGAAGCAAATCGCTGCAGTTGCTTGCCATGAAGTATCTAGCGAATCTAACTTGAGTTAGTTTTGCTTCACACAGTCAGCACAGTGATGGGGGATACCACTGCTTCCCAACAAAAAAAAATGGAGCTATTGCTTGAGCATGCCCTGGCCACCCCCGGGTGCGATGTGTTTTGTCCCCCATGTAGGCCACCTTGCTCCTAGTAGCGATGCCCTTTGTTCCTAGTAGCTTCTTGTTACTAGTAGTAATGGCCTCCAACCTACTAGTGATGACCTCAAACCTGGTAGCGATGGCGTCCACCTAGTTGCTTCTTGCTCCTAGTAGCGATGCCCTTTGTTCCTAGTAGCTTCTTGTTACCAGTAGTAATGGCCTCCAACCTACTAGAGATGGCCTCCACCTAGTTGCTTCTTGCTCCTAGTAGCGATGCCCTTTGTTCCTAGGGAAGCTTCTTGTTACTAGTAGTAATGGCCTCCAACCTACTAGCGATGGCCTCCAAACTACTAGCGATGACCTCCACCTAGTTGCTTCTTGCTCCTAGTAGCGATGTGCTTTGTTCTTAGTAGCTTCTTGTTACTAGTAGCAATGGCCTCCAACCTACTAATGATAGCCTCCACCTAGTTGCTTCTTGCTCCTAGTATCGATGTCCTTTGTTCCTTGTAGCTTCTTGTTACTAGTAGTAAGGGCCTTCAACCTCTTAGCGATGGCCTCCAGCTAGTTGCTTTTTGCTCCTTGTAGCGATGCCCTTTGTTCCTAAGGTAGCTTCTTGTTACTAGTTCTTGTTACTAGTAGTAATGGCGTCCAACCTACTAGTGATGACCTCCAACCTGCTAGCGATGGCCTCCACCTAGTTGCTTCTTGCTCCTAGTAGCGATGCCCTTTGTTCCTAGTAGCGATGCCGATCTAAGACTTTACGAGAAGACAACAATAATTGAGGCTTTATAGAGGTTGCCGACGTGTTTTGCACCAGCTATGCTGCAGAGCCATGGGATGTGCCAGTTTTGTCATGGCTTTTTCAGGATAACACCAGCCTGAGTTCCGCCATCAGTGCTTGTGACGCTCCTGTGGCAGCCTTGCAAGTTGTATTCTTGGATAAGTCCAAATTGTTCCCCTTTTTCAGGGAATGAGCATTTTAAGTGCTTTTTTTGCCATGATTTTCCGATCATGGGACCATGTGAGCAAGTGAGGATACTGCAAGCCAATGGCGTTTGGGCTTGAGCTTGGCGTCAGACTTGCACACTGAAAACCTTTTGAACCCAGATATTGCCCCTCGTTACAGGGTTGGAGGCCATCGTTATTGGGGAGGATGAAACGGACATTGAGCTGTCCTATGGGACACCATGGGCCACGGGCACTAGTCCAAAAAAGAGAACTTCTCTTTTGTTACTAGTAGTAATGCCCTTGTTACTAGTGGCTTCTTGCTCCTAGTAGTAATGCCAGGAGCTACTAGCAGCTTCTTGCTCCTAGTAGCGATGCTCTTTGTGAAACAGCTTTGTCTCCAGCACTCCCACACACCTTGGTTAAGACTGTCAGAATTGGTACACCCTCTCACCGATTCGTGGGTCAGATTTTCGAGCAATTCGTGGGAAGCATTGTCGACCTTCTCTAGAAGGTGCATGACCAAACTTTTTCCCTGTGCCACATGGGTTCTTTTTACATGTCAAGGCCCCCATAGAGACGCAAATCATACACTCCCTGAATTGTATATTAATGGAAGTGGGAAAACCTCCTGTTTGTAGAGGAAAATTGTCATCCAAGGGGCCACGCCATCCCCTTCGATCTTCGATGATCATTTCAGGAAGTGTAAAGAAGACAAATTGACCTGTTTTTGCCCTGCATTTGAGAGCCCCAATCCATCTTAACCAAGGATCTAGCACATGCCGTTTTGACGGGCATCGGCTTCATGCTACGTACACTTAATTGACTATATAGACCTTAGACGCCTTTCTTTGCCCCACTCGTGTTCACTCTGAGGTTTTATGGAATACGGTGGTGGCCACCTGCATGGAGGGATCCCACTGGTCGCTATCATTGCAAGTGATGAAGGACATGCCTAAGTCGAAAGTACCTTGGACCATGCCAGCCATCGTACAAGACCAATGTCATAGAACCAGGTAGATGCATGGTTCCTGCATCATGGCCAGGTACAAAGTTCGAAGACGTGTGGAGCAATATGAATAGTAAATGAACAAGTATGGAGTTCAAAAAGCTAGGATAGAAATTCGAAGGTTGAGGAACGCTACCGATTCGGGGAGAAGACAGGTGTCTCGGTTTCTCTTTGTCGATGTCAGGTAGATCCAGATGTTGTCACCGTCAACACCGCAGCCAATGCTTGTGCCAAAGCAGCTGAATGGCAGCATGGTTTGGATCTCTTGGACCAGCAACTCGGCTGCTCGATGGCCTCCCACCCTAGTAGGGATGGCCTCCCCAGATATATTGGGACGTGAGGTGGTATCAGCTTAGGGACTAAGCGGGAAGAGCTTGAGAAGACCATGAGACCATGAGGTCGATTGGTCGACTTATGGCTCTCCCAGATAGATGATTCTTTGTTTGGCACCATCCCACCATATCGCACCGCTTTCAATGTGTTTTGGCCAGATTTCGGCTACATGCAAAGCTTGCATGAGCACGGTTGCTAGTGGCAGGGCTTGTTGAGATGCAAAGGGCAAAGGAGGGGCAAAGGCAAATGGCTTTGTAGTACAGGTTTTGGGGCCTCATGGCAGCACCACGAAAGAACGATCTGGGCTGTCCAGGACGACAGATGTTGGAGTGGGGGCTCGCAGGGTTGACTCGGGATCATTCCACACCTTCCAGGATGACGCAGGGAGATGTTTGCCCAGATGCATTGACCTACACCGCTTTAATTGGTACGTGCCAGCAAGACGAACAATGGCAACTGGCGCTGACTTTGCTGCAACAAATGCTGCAAGAGAAGCTTGTCAAGTGGTCAGCTCAGCTGTGAGCAAGGAAAAGCATGACTGAAAGTCTTCTTTCTGCTCTTTAAGCCACAAGTCCAAACCAATTCTGTCCTTGATGTTGTCCTTCTTTGTGGTTACATGACTATGGTATGTACTACATACATTCGTCACCCATTGAAACCCCGCCCGCCCATTGTGTCGTTCAAGGAATGTGGCTCCGGACCTGCAATGTTTCAATGCCTTGATCAGGTCTTGTGTCTCGGATCGCTAAGCAAACTGTGCACAAAGCAGCCGGGGACAGCACATCAGACATATCCACCTTTTGGGAGCTGTATCATGAGAGCATGGAGGCCATTGCTACTAGGGTGGAGGCCATCGCTAGTAGGTTGGAGGCCATCGCTACTGGGGTGGAGGCCTTTGCTAGTAGGTTGGAAGGCACCGCTACCAGGTTGGAGGCCATCGCTAGTAGGTTGGAGGCCATCGCTATGAGGTTGGAATGTCATTTGTCCTCTATGTTGCTTGTCCCCTGTAGGCAATGTCGACTGAACCTGAGCAGGATCGTGGTGGAGTGTTGTTGTTGTTGTTGCTGCTGCTGCTGCTGCTGTTGTTGTTGTCGTCTTTTTTGCACTTGTGCAACTAGTTTATCCTTTTTGCTGACTGAGATTCCACTGATTCTTGTTCAGCATAGGCATAGGCAGAAAGCGTAGCTGGCGTGGCTGAGGTCTGCAATGCTCGCAGTGGATGATAGCCTTGGACCTTTTATCCATCATGAAAGAGTTTGGTCTTAGGCCAGATCGTTCCACCTACATCGCCCCTTAGCAAAATTCAGCAGACATTCCTGAAAGATGGAACCCTAGCCGCGAACTTGAAGCCATCTCGCTCCAAGATGGAAAAATGGACAGCAACTGCATTTCAACATATTTCAACTCATTGATTTGACTTGCATGGTTGCTTCATGTTGTTTTGCAGACCCATCTCTGAGGTGGCCATGCAGGGGTCGAATTGAAGCCGGGAGAGTCTTCGAAGAGTCTTGACATTCTACAGTTGCCTTGTCTGAGAGATCAGCATCATATGGTGCAAAGTATGGAGGCCGTCGATACTAGGGTGGAGGCCATTGCTAGCAGGTTGGAGGCCATTGCTAGTAGGTTGGACGCCATTCCTAGCAGGTTGGAAGCCATTGCTAGTAGGTTGGAGGCCATTGCTGGTAGGTGGGAGGCCATTGCTAGCAGGCTGAAGACCATTGCTAGCAGGTTGGAGGCCATTGCTAGCAGGTTGGAGGCCATTGCTAGCAGGTTGGAGGCCATTGCTAGCAGGTTGGAGACCATTGCTAGCAGGTTGGAGGCCATTGCTAGCAGGTTGGAGGCCATTGCTAGTAGGTTGGACGCCATTGCTAGCAGGTTGGAAGCCATTGCTAGTAGGTTGGAGGCCATTGCTAGTAGGTGGGAGGCCATTGCTAGCAGGTTGGAGGCCATTGCTAGCAGGTTGGAGGCCATTGCTAGCAGGTTGGAGGCCATTGCTAGCAGGTTGGAGGCCATTACTAGTAGGTTGACGGCCATTGCTAGCAGGTTGGAGGCCTTTGCTAGCAGGTTGGAGGCCATTGCTAGTGGGCGGCCATTGCTAGCAGGTAGGAGGCCATTGGTAGTAGGTTGGAGGACGTTGCTAGTAGGTTGGAGGCTATTAGGTTGGAGGCCTTTGCTATTAGGTAGGGGGCCATTGGTAGTAGGTTTCAGGCCATTGCTAGTAGGTTGGAGGCCATTTAGGTTCCTCTTGCTATTAGGTTGGAAGCCATCGCTCTATGTCTTTGCGCCGTGGCATCCTGAAGTTCACAGTCTTGGCGCTCTCCATGAAGATCGGCTTGCTTCAAGGAATTGCCCTAACTGAACTTGTGCTATTAAACTCCGAGCACTGCAGGCTGGGTCATCTATTTGGGCTTTCAATAGTCTTTGATATGTTGTCATAGGCAACAAGTTGCAAATGCTCCCGTACGTTGCTTGAATCCACCCTTCCCCGTTGCACAGTCAATATCATTACCTAATTGGATTTATTCTGAACTCCTTTTTTGGAACACCGGCCGCGCCCAACGCGGCCCGCCTTGTGGTTGAGCGACCCGTTGGAAATTCACCACTGCTCCCTTAAGTGGTTTCGTGGAAGTGGACCCAACACACAAAGTACGATTTGAGCTCCCTTCCTAGGACTGTTTTTGGTTCCCCTCCTCGTGCTTAAAAAGGACAAAGGTCAGGAACCGACTTATTCGGCACCTGGGGCTCACAAAACATGTGTATTTCAGGGTCAGGCTCGCCCTTGAGCAAAGGTCCTAGGAAATTCGGCCCGCGCACCTCTCGAGACGCCGGCAGGAAGAGGAGAAGATAGTTCAAGACATATTTCTGCTGCATGTGAGCGACGTGTGAAGCAAGAAGTGAAAGAAGTGAGGAAGATAGCCGAAGTGGCCAGACTTCCAGACGGCCCAAGGTGAAAGCGCAGGGTCGGAGCAGAGGGATTCAGAACGATCCAGGTCAAGCGTCGCAAGATGTCACAAGATGTCGCACGAACGATTGTGCTTGACCACTGCGTTGCCTTTGTATTCTTTGGATTCTTTGCCTTTGGATGCAGGATGATGCAGGCACAAAGGATATTTATTGGATGCTTGAGCTCGCGAATGGAAGAGAACACCACAGAATAAAAAGAGCAAAAATGAGCAGCGGGCTCCTGACAAGACGCCCCCCCACCTCGCCAAGAAATCATGCTGACCGCTGTGAAACCATGCAAAAAACAATTCTGCTTGGCTATGTTTGATTGGAGTCTGGAGCCAAGCAGGCCATGGTGTTAGTTTGTGTCGGCCTCACACCCTAGCATCACCCAAATGATATAGTCAAAAACCATTGCACAGAATGCCTCCAGATTGTAGGTACAACGATTGGAGAGTCTCAATGCCATTTCTGCCACCAGCGCTTTGAGATCCATGGATGGTGCACCAGGCAAAGGGAACTTCGTGACTTTGGGTTTTTGTGGTTGGGATGGTCATTTCAAAAAGCAATCATTGATGTGCTATATATAATATGTGTGTGTAATATTTATCGTCCAAGTTCATTCTTCTCCGTGTGGCAGTAAAGTTGCCGATGAGCACATTCAATCTTACTAGTTACTAGTTATTGGAACAAAGCCATTGCTGGTTCTACCACTTGTTTGGATCTGACTGTCAAACATCCAGTCTCTTGCATGTTCATGCGTTGCATTACACATCACTCCGCCCGGTTTACTTTACTTCCCATGTGCTCCGCCATCGCTAGTGCAGGCGTGTGGCAGAATGCCATGCGTCTTTTTCACAGCTCTGCTGAGGTGCAAGGTTTTGTTGAGCAAAGCTTGATCGACGTGGGAAAAGGAGAACTTGGACGAACATGGAACCTGAGCTTTGTCACCACAATATGCAGACCAATCTAATCGAATTCTAACGAAGCTCGGTTTGGCCAATGTGTTTCTGTGCAAGACCGACTTGGTGACCTATGCAGCTGCTTTGGGCATTTGCGTCGGATCCCAAGTTGTCACTTTTCACTGTGGACATACGAAAAGGCAAATATTGGATATGTTCTTATATGTATTCTGTATATTTATTTGACCGCTGGCCCCACTTGCAGCAGGCTTGAACTGAGAACACCCCAAAAGATGGGCTGAACTAATTATGTTGAACTGGGGTGTTGGGAATGGGTCTGTGGTTTAAAATTATCGATTTTAATCAATTTTACTTGTTCCAACATGATCCGGGTGCCTTATTGAGAGGTACAGAGATGGAGAGAGAAGAGAGAGAGAGAGATTGCACTCAAAGAGCCTCGAAAAATGCTGGACTTGTTCTGGTTCTCGTAGTTTTGGTTTTCGGTTTTGAGTCGAGGCGCAGAGTAGCGCTTGGCTCAGCAGCTGGGAACTTCTGGATTTGGGACATCGCCACAGGGCACCTTGTCGGGGCGAGGGCGTGGCGACGCGATGCAACGTGCTCGGTTTGCGACGACTTGGTAAACATGTTCAGACTTCCATGTTTGCGTTCTTGTTCCTAAGGCCAGGAGCTACTAGTAGCTTCTTGCTCCTAGTAGTAATGCCAGGAGCCCTCGTAGCGTTCTTGTTCCTGAAGGAACTTGTTTCAAAAACGTTCATAGATTTGGTTCAGAGTGCTGTGGATTGAAAACAGGTTGGAGTTTCAGACGGAGGTGTGGACATGCAACTGGTCAATAGACATGTGGGCCAGTGGGGCTAGAGACCCAGTAGTGCCAGATAGCCTGCGGGTCAAAAGATATCCAAAAGCAACCCTCTTCGAGGAAGATCTTCTGAGCCTTTCTCCTGCGTGCACGTCGTCAAGCACTCAGGGATACTCAGGGGCTCGGGCCCAGTGCAAAGGGCCCACCTTACGGTGGTAGCAAACATGAAGGAACTTGCTCCTAGTAGCGATGCCAGGAGCCCCTTAGGCCCTAGTAGCGTCCTTGCTCCTAGTAGCGATGCCAGGAGCCCCTAGTAGCCTCCTTGCTCCTAGTAGCGATGCCCTTTGTTCCTAGTAGCTTCTTGCTCCTAGTAGCAAACATGAAGGAACTTCATCGACTGACTTTTGGCAGCTCCTCCTTTTTATTGGGTCATGTGGAGATATGTTTGAACAGGAGTTTATCCGGGTCCATGCAAGATAGGAAGAGAGTTGTTTGCTTTGCTGGGTCAACAATCCTCGGTTCTTTGAGGCTAAACATGGAAGCTAGGCCCCAGACGTTTTTTGTCAAAGGACGACAGAAAAGGCAGATGCTAAGCGCAAGGCTTTTGATGCCACAACACCCGGGTTGTGCTCATCATCTCATCATCGGCACGTTTCCTGATTTTCTGGCATTAATGCACTTGATGTCTGCCCTGCGGATGTGTGCTTAAGCTTTGAACTGTTATGATAACAATCATTGTGCACATGGTGAGCCCAGTAACCCAGGGCATTCCATTACATTCCATGCTTGCTTGCTTCCAGTTCAGTTTCGTCCTTCATTTGCAGACGCAAAGAAGCATCCCAGAAGCTGCTTGGTGCTGAAGCACAAAATCTTTGAGCTTCCTTGAAGAAGCGCTCGCACAAATTATTGTGTTCCTACACGTTTAGGGAAACTTAACAAATCCCACCACTAGGTTGGAGGCCATCGCTATTTGGTTGTAGGCCATCGCTCTTGGGTTGGAGGCCATCGCTATTGGGTTGGAGGCAATTGCTACTAGGTTGGAGGCCATTACTATTGGGTTGGAGGCCATCCCTCTTAGGTTGGAGGCCATAGCTCTTGGGTTGGAGGCCACCGCTCTTAGGTTGGAGGCCTTCGCTTTTAGGTTGGATTTTTGGATATTTTTGGTATGTCTTTGGGTGTATGTTGGAGCATTTGGCCGTGAAGACATGTGAACATGTGACGACCGTCAGGTTGACGACGAGCGCCAGTCGCGCCAAAGCATGGAGGCTTTACCAGGGAAAGTGTTTCCTTTGATCAGTTGGACTCATGGCTTTACATGTTTCTACATGCAAAAGAAAGGCTTTAAGGAACCCAGCTAGCGATGGCCTCCAAGCTAATAGCGATGCTTTACATGTAACAAAAATGGGGGTGGTGTAAACCACCGCAGGAATCAAGCGCTTTTTAATGTCTGTGTTTTTGTGTGCGTGTTGTTTGAGCAATGTTGAGTGCGCCTTAATGTTCTTTGGGATCATCAAACGTATTTGAGGCCTTCAATGCGTGCGAGCGCTCCAGCCTTCATACTACTGACAATGCAGTAACAAATGTTCCGAACCACCACAAGTAGGTAATATCCCTAGCAACCAGTTTGCATGCATTCCGATGCCAATTGAGCAGACTAAAGAGGCTTAGCCAGAGTTCTTCCACAAAGCCGCAGGGTAAGAATTGAAATCCGATCTACCTTTGAAAACAGAAGGATTCAAAAGCAGCGTTGTGTTGGGCATGTTTGGACCTGGAGCGGTGCAGGCTTGCCATCCAGTGTTTGGTTGCAGGCGCCGTTTGCTTT